TTTGATCTTCGGCTTGCCAAAGAAAGCCCTTCTTTCTCGTTTCATTTCATTTCATTTCGTTTCGTTCCGTCTCGGCTAGCGTTTCCGGTTTCGAGACTTTTGGATCTGTCGTCTTGGCGCATAAATTTGCCTTAATTTGTTGCAAAATAATTTCATTCATTTACGTGCTGCCATTTACATTGCGATATGCCGTTGATAACTTATTTAAGCGTCGCCATCGTCGGGCAACAAATTTGAACAAAATAAATTATCAAACTGTCACATTGACGTATCGCCTGTCCGGGCGAGCAGGAGCTGAAGCGGTAGCAGAAGCTGGAGCCAGAGTATGGTCAGGGGGGAACAAGTCGTGAAAGCATAATCTAGAGTATCATGTTGCTCGTTTAAAGGATGTCAAAGGTTGGCCATATATCAGGAAGGCATCAAACGCAGGCGAAGCTGCTGCTGCTGCTGCTCCTGCTGCAGCCCGTTAACAATATCATGTAACAAATTCTTTGTGCTGGACAAGCCACACTAACACACAAACACACACACACACACACACACACACACAGATACACAAGCGAATAGATATGGATAGAGGGATACACGGGCTACACGGACATTCGAGCTGTTTCAGATTTCCAATAAATATGCCTAGGGTGGCCTAGGCGGCTTGCTGTTTGCCGATTTCCACTCTTGTTCTTGTTTTTGTTGTACATATAGCTACTTGTTGTTGTTGTTGTTGTTGTTGCTGTAGACTCCCAGCTCTGCCGCTTATTTGACATTCTGACAGTTTCGACAGTTTGGTTCTCGTTTTACTCTGCGACAAAGTGCGTGAGGGCTGGCCCAGGACGAGCAACTGGCAACTGGAACTAGCTTGTTTATTTATATGGTGTGGGCCATGTGTGTGTGTCTCTCTCTCTCTTTCTCTCTGTGTGTGTATGTGTCTGTGTACCTTGCTGCGGTTGCCGTGCCCTCTGCTCCTGTAGCCGTTCGCCGTTCGCCTCCATCATGCATTATGCCGTAAACGTTGCTTTGTTGCGCAGAAAACACAGACGAGTCTGCAAAAAATCGCTCAAAGTATCGAAAACCGAATAGCGCAGTGTGTGACAGCTGCCCCTCCTCCCCCCCCCCCCCCCTCACTTGTCCGTGCCCCTTCCATCTGCCCTTTCTCTATGGATTTATGAAGCAGCCAGGAACGCGCTGCGTTTGCTTTAGAGCGAGGAACAGCCACTAACAAGCGGCTGATATGTGTCACTTACAAACCCGAACAGTGGCAACAAATGTTTCAATTTGTGGTCACAAAACACGGCAAACCAAAGAAGATGATGTGCAATCACCTGCAATACTATATTATATATAAATACTAGCAGGTTTAGAGGTCGAATCAATGCCTCGATTTGAGGTTCGCATGAGCAGCTTGCCTTGCACCTATATGGCTGAAAGCTAGTCAACTCTGTTAAAATGATATTAAAAAACAAAAATTAACTTTAAAAATAACTATTTATTGCCGATATTGATGGCTGGCTTTTGGCAAAACTAAAATAAATAGAATTAAAAAAAAAAAGAATAAAACTATTTTCAAAGAAACATAATGCGGCTTAGACTTGCTTTCGGCTACCTTATCCAAGATATCTGGCTTAAGCTTTGAATAAAAAATGACATATTTTCAAGTACTTGCTTAGCATAAAATGATCCATGTAACATTTCGGTATTATCCAACTGATACAGTTAAAAGTTTGGCTCATATCAAATTACAAATTTAATACTTATCTTATTTTGTGCCTATTACATATTAATTTAATTTATTCTCTCTATATTGTTTTCGGAATTACACATTTAATAGGCAATGTTCAATATTATAATAGAATATTCAATATTATATTAGTCATATGGCAACAGTCTTCTCTTATCCTGACATGCATACTGCCCATTGTGCGCTATGGGATTCTCGGCAGTAGTATTTAAGGCATGCTCATGTTTGGAGTTTTCAGCTGAAACTTACTTAGCAGATTTTATGCTGCTGATGGAGAGTGGAACGCGTTTAAGTTTGATGCGCTTAGCACCGGGGAAAAAGTCGTCGTGACAGCTAAAAATGAAATGTGATAGCCTTTGCTGGATCAATTTCGGGGGGCAAAGGCTACCGGAATATGGTACCAACTACTGGCAATGCCATGCATAAGAGATATTTGCAGTTGTTGTTTACAATTATGCGGCAACTGGAAGCTGCTTTGTTTTGCCAGACAGAGACAGCCAGATAGATAGATAGATAGTTGTATAGATGTGTATAGGTATTCGATGTGACATCGGACGTTATTGCGAGTGCTGTTTCTGTTGATTTTGTCGATTTTGTCGGACGGGGCGAGCTGACTGACTGACAGGCGGACAGCTGTTTGCTTCATTGGCTGCCACAAAATATCAACAAGCATTTTGTTTATTTGCTTAGCGTCGACAACTACCAAATACAAAGAGCCATTAGATTGTTGTTGCCAGCCAGCGAGAGTGGGAGGGGAGTGGGACAACTGTGCTGGGGTTTTTTTTAAGTGCATGTTGTTTCAGCGTTTGCGGCATGCAACTGCCAACAATGAGTCGTAGCTGCAGCCCTCGGAGCCAACAAATGCTCAAATTTATGCAACAGCAATGCCAATAATCTATTGTTTTTAGCCAGTTGCCTGTGTGTGTGCGTGTGTTTGTGTATGTGTGCAGAGGGGCAACATGTGTAAACTGTTTGAGTGAAAGCTGTCTCTAGGAATGTATTTGTGTGCTGCAATTTTAAAGTATAAGTGTCGAAAAGTACTTGAATGTAATTGAAAAACGAGAATTTGTTTTCAAATTTGCTTGAATATTTGCTTATTCGTACAAAATAAGCTCCCTGTAGCCAGAAGATATACTCAATTATTGGAGGTGCTTTAAGGTGTCAACTTGTACCTGCCCAATGTGAAGAGGCTTGCCTTATTAAAGGCTGCCAGCTAGAGTCCTGACTCTGACCCCTTAAATTTGACTAATAACAATAAGAGCCGTGGCCTAATTTTTAATTGAGCCGTAGATGTTGTTACTCAGCGTTCCCCGACTTCAGGCAAAATTACACATAGCTGCTGGCAACAGCTTCTAAACAAGTTTGGCTTCTTTAAATTCTTGTTTCCTCGAACCGAACTCCGACTAAAAATAAGTTTCTTTGTTTTTTCGGGCACTTTGTATGTCGAGTGCAACATTTATGTTGCACATTTAACCCCTAAGCAACGTGTGCTATCGATTGTTGTGACAGACGCTGTGTCTCGTTTTACTTAACATCATTTTGGAAATTTTTTGGTCGGAATTTATGCAGTCCTTGTGCAGGCCATGCCCGGCTCCGGATCAATGCCATGGCCGTTGGCCATGTCAATGCACGATACGACAAAAGCAAGCTGAGCTGCAATTTAAATATTGCATGTGCTGCGATAGCACGGCCGGACATAAGGACACGGGCGGGACATGCTGGGGGTCCAAATGCGGGTCCAGGTCCAGGTCCGGGCGCACATGTGACTATCGAGTAACGAGCACCGAGACATATTAAGCATAAAATTGTGTCGAGAAATTGGACTATGTGAAAAATGGCAATGCCGTGGAAAATATGTGCGCCAGGCAAAATGGGCGTGGCTGGAATAAGCGTTGCATTTTATAATTTATGCGCATGCAAGCCACGGAGTCTGCCACATAATCCGTGTTTAATAACACGAAACGAGCCCAACTCAACCCGGGCTAAGGAGCTGCTGATTCAGACAGCGCAAGCCGATAAATATAGCTATATATATACATATTTATATATAGGTATGCGATTGCCTTAAGCACTTTATGGGCTTCAGTTTGGGCAACACTTTTCGAGAATTTGTTTAAATTTTGCCCGGCACCGGCTCCGGCTCCAGTTGAGGCCGGCAACGGCGGAAGTTAACGCTCTTGTGCATTGTTTAACCAAAGGTATGCTTTTTATCAGCCAAAGGTCTTGGCACGCACACACAAATATGCCACACAGACACACATAAACAAGTGTGTGGGCTGCCTGGGCGAGGGGCGGCGGGTTAAAAGCGAAACCTTATCGAAAACGTTTAAACGCACGTAAATTCCACGTGGGCAAGATAAAACATGCATAAGCCAGGTGGCAAAATGGTCAAAGGGGCGTGGCTGGCACAGCAGCAGCGCCTGCATGTGTGTGTGAAAAATATGCCAATGTTAAATATTTGCCAGGCGTTGTCGCTGGTTTGGCACCCCTCAGATAAAGCTTTAACTACAGTCTCAGATAGACACATACACAAACACACGCACATACAGACACAACATGCGTGTGTATGTAACCTTTTGCGTGCTTTACGCATTACCCACACACAGCGCAGGACAATGTTGCAGGACACTTTGAATTATTCATTTACACGTTTTTTTTTTTCTTTTATACCCTGCCCTTCGAGCCGTGGGACAGTTGGGAATGTATTTGGGAGGGGAAGGGGTCTGAAGGGCACGCCTCGTAGGCGTTTGTAGCAACAACTGTATTTACTTTTTATCGCTGATAAAGCGCATAATTTATGGGTTGTTCAAAAATTTAAATGCCCCCGAGAATGCCGCGAGACAAAGAGAGCCAAAGAATTCCTCACGGGGTCAGTTGACGCAGGCTAAGTGCCGCGCAGGGCGAGGATAGGGGCTGTCTGTAAATTGTGGTATATATGTCTCTTTGTGCTCTCATTATCATGGCAATCCGAAGCAATGCCAAATATTTGACGCGTTCAATTTGGAGGGAAAGCTAATCCACCCGAGAAATATGCGGCACACAAATTTTATTCCTAATATTTTTTTGTTTAAAATCTTCGATAATAAGTAAATTATGTGGTGTAGATATTTGCATGTAATTTTTGTGTGTATTGGCATTGGTAGTACCAAATTAAATCTAAGAAAAATATTTTTAATGTATGCATTCTCACTATTTCAAGTTAGACTTAGCAAAGCGAGTTAAGTCTTTTAGCTAATAAACATAATCTCTGCTCTTCTCTATTTAGGAATGTGACTATATAAATGTTCGTCTCTCGCCTTCTGTTAGATGAAGAAAATAATAGTGCGAGTGAATTAACGGGTGAGTACGACATTACAAATATATCTCTATTTATAAAATTGATTGACCTCACCGATTGATTGAATGTGTTTCGGGAAATCCCATTGGCCTCAAACTCATTTTTAAAGATCTTTGAGAAAATTTACTTATACGTGCCACGGGCAAAGCCGGGCTAGTTTTATTTCAAAATCTAACAATTTATTTCACTTAACTGTTATCTGTAAATTGAAATAGTATCGCAAATATTAGGTATTTCAGATTTAAGTGATAAATTTACAAATTCAATTTGCGAATAATTCGTTGTGGCAAGCGAAGGCGTGGCAAATGACCAACAATTATAAACGCCCTCGGCCAATGGTTCAATGATTTAAAGCCAACACATTATCAGCCGCACATTTACACACACACACACGGTCAATAATCATTGTTTAATAGATGATTAGAATGTGGAAAAAAAGTGTAGCATACATTTATGGGCTGGGTGCAATAAATGTTTTATGCAGGTCTCGTGCGCGGGGTGTGAAAGCTGAATGCAAATTAAAATGCAATGCGATGTGATGAATGTGCAAATGTAAAATATGTGGCGTTAAATTTCAGTGCGAATAAAAATAACACCAAAAAATAGCAAAGATGGAGTAATACATGTACACAATGCAGAAGCAAAGCGAAACAATTTTTGTATGAAATGAGGTCGGCCACACGGCAAAGACGTTGGCATGCCACTTGAGGGGGGAGGGCGGTTGACCGAGGGGTTCTGGGCAAATTTATGACTATTAAGCGGAAAGTATGTGGCTTTTGTTGCTGCCTCAAGTTATACGAAAGCGCTGAAAATATGCAAAGCAATCGTAATTTTATGCTCCGCTTCGCTTTTGGCCTTTTGCCTTTTCTTCTCTATTTTTCTATAATATTGCTGCAGCCGAAATGCAAATGACCTGGCCAGCTGTTGTTATCAACATAGATGAATCAAATTAAATGAAAAGTACATTACGAGTCGCTTAATTGAAAAGCTTGGCCCCCTGCTGACAGCAGTCAGCGACGGGGCTCGCACTCAGGATTCGCGCTGGCGATTGTGATCCCGATGCTCCCAAAGCAATCAACCTAATTTGTCATATGCACCCGGCTCACAACCTGTACGTCTGTCCGCCTGTCTATCTGTCTGGCTGTCTGTCTTTCTGTCTGCCCTGCTGTCAGTCAAACACTTTTGTCCAGTCGGCCAGTCAATATTTATAATGAAAGCTAATGAGCGACTACGACCCGCACAGAGCGCAAAAAGTTGGCCCTGGACGCAGACGAGGACTCGAACTCCGACTGCCCTGGGTCAAACTGCAGAGCACTCATTGTATGTGTGTGTGAGTGTGTGTGTGCGAGTGTGAGTGTTTGCATTCTTTTTTTTTCTGCATTTTTGAAGTGGTCAACTATTGTTCTGCACCTCTCGCTTCCCTCTTTTCCCACGTTGTCTGTGCTTTGTCTGCTTTTGTGCTTCTGTTTTATAAATGCGACGCTTAAAAACTGAATGGCGCCGCGTCGCGGCAAAATAAATTGAAAGTACTTGTCCATTGTTTGATTAATGTGTCAATAATGGCAGCGGCTCGCAACAGTCCGAAATAAAAACCTAGCCGAATGCCCGGACCGTGGCCGAGTGCATTGAAACCTTAGAAAATTGTTGCGATAGCGAGAGCTTAGAAGATTGCACTCTTAAGCATCAAGATAAACAATTGTCTTGGAATAAAAGAGAGCAATCGATGTTTGGCAAATAAATTTTGTGGATTGCAATTGTTTTGCGATTTACTCTAATTGAAATTTTCAAGTTTTAGCTTCAACATTTGTAAAATATCGTAATCTTAGAGAGTAAGAACAATAAAAAGTAAATTATGTGCTGAACTCTGGTTGCACTCAAAAACTGCAAGCCATTTAAACATTTTTAAGCGTATCTATCAGTATAGCTCCAAGGGTCTACTGTAATACGAAATTAAAGATTTCAATAAACTTTAACATTCACAAAAAGGCAATTAAGGAAACAATATACACAGATAAAAAATAATTTACAATTAGCGCAAAGGAAATATATTTTTAAACTTATTTACGAAATAAAAGATTTCAAAATACAATTAAGTGAAGACAATTCAACGATTGCTTATTAAGTCGAAGGAAAATATAAACTAAAATATTATTTCTAATTAACGAAGAAAATATATAAAGAAAATATCATATAAAATATAATTTACAAATAACTTAAAGGAATTTCTACAAGTACATAGCCAAGCATATATTTCTGGCAGTTTAAATGAATAAAGTTCCTTAAGATCTGCCCACAGTTTGAGTCGAGCCTCGGCAACAGTTTTCTTCATAATTAGTTGACCAACTTCGAGCTTGAGCCTCGACTCGCCGATACATAAACTCAAGTGCCGCACTTTATGGGAGAGAATTATGTAATGCGCTCTAAGGCAGTGCGAGTAAATACTTGTTATTCAAAATACTCATTCTAAATACTCATTTAGTGGGGAATCACAGTGCGCTCAAGTGCGTAGTCGTTGTCGTCGTCGTCGTCGTCGAAGAACCCTTCATCAAAGAACGCCGCCAAGGAGTGCGCTCAAAAAGAAATCCAATTTAATGACTGCACTGAGAAGTGCTCGCCCTTGGTCCAACTTGGTCCCAACTCAAACGCACCCCAGCTCCGGCCACATCTGCGGGTCCGCCCTGGCTGTCCCGTGGGCGATGACTTGTGCTTGGGCCGCGTCTTTGTTTTCATTGCGGCTGTCACTTTGGGCGCACGGAACGTTAATGGCAAGTGTAAAATGCTTTAAGCCCGGACCAGCACAAGCAGCCAGAAGGGAAGAGAGAACGAGCAGGAGAGAGAGCGTGGGAGAGTCGGAGGGAATAAAAAAACTAAAAGAAGAGTTTAATTAACACGAAAATGGTTTCAATTACATCAAATTACATTTCTTTGCAGTACCGAGCACGACGCCATTGTAGTTTGTAGTTGTGTCTGTGCCAAGTTGAAGATGGCCTCCGCTGCGGCTTCCGGCGGGTGGGTGACGTAAGGGGTAAGGGCTGGGGGCGGGGGTGCCACTTGCTCAGTTGATTTGCGCACGGAGATTTATTGGGCGGCAGTTGAGCAAATTAGTTGAAATTGTCAGTTAAAATAGTCAGCTGCAAAGACAAAGGAGCGCGGTAAAGGGAGAGGGGCGAGTCGCAGGACGTGACACAAGGATTTAAATGACATGAGTACTTGGAAAAATTGTAAAAATTGCCAATGTTGGCCCTATTTACTGGCAAAGCTCTCACCCACATTGAACTCTATTTCGGGCACTTGAATTTGCTGAGTAAATCTCTTTAATTAAATTTACTTTCAAGCGCTTTTTGTTTTGGCCACATGAATAATGTTGTCTCCACTTCCGAGCATATGCAAATAATGCCATAAACAAAGCCCTCACGACATTTGATGCTCTGTAAATATGTAAATATATTTTTTTGGGGACCGAAAAGGAAATATGTATTGAATAGACAAAAAACTTTCAAACCTGGAATTTAAAATTCATTAGAGCAGAAAATAAATTAATAGATAGATAATAGAAGAACAAAATTCAAGAAATAATTTTATTGGTTGCGTAATTTTTGCATTTATATTAGTTTCCATATTTATTCGCCTACCGGTAAATTATAGGTAACTTTAATCTCATTGGGGCAGAAAGGAAATAAACAGATCAAAAATAGAAAACAAATTTAAGAAATTATTTGAATTTTTAGGTAATTTTTAAATTGCTTTTCATTAGGGTTTCTACATCTATACGCCTACAGGGTATCTGAGCGTTGCTTTCAGCTTATTTTTTTTTTTTTCTGGTCTTGAGTTGTGTTTTTTTTTTGCGGGGGCTATTGCTCTGTGGCTTGTGTCATTCATTTGGCTTTTGTTGGCCTGACAGAGCCGAGCCTCATTTATTTTGCTTACACGCATGTCTCCTCCTGCGACGCGTCATTTATGACACCTTGACAGAAAAATGAGCACACACAAAAAGTACAGCAAGTGGTGCCAGGTGAGCGCCCGCGTCTGGGGTGCGGTTGTGCCAAGGCACATTCATAATTTCATTTCGCCGCGATGACTCGCAGCTGGCTGAGGGCTGCGCGACTTTGCACGCCGCCTTATTATGCGACAGAAATTGAAAAACTTTGTTTGCCGGCGCGCTGGGGTTAACAAATAGGCTGCCAGGCTGCCAGGCTGACTGTGGCTTTGTGGTGCGGGCGGCCATTTAAGCACAACACCCAAGTGCCGCACATAATTTGATGCCTTTTATGGCTTTTAATTTGTTGCCGGCGCAGGTCATAGGTCGCCTGCCAAGCGCCGCCTGCCACTTGTCTTTACTTTTTATTTGAATGCCGGCTGTCAGTGTTTTTTTTTCACCCTCTGTTTTCGTAATGAATTTGGCTAATGAGATTGGCATTGGCTGTGGCAGCAGCAGCCCGGGCAACAGGTGAAAGCCACTCGATTGTCCAATTCCAGTTCCAGTTCAAGTTGCAGAGCTTAAACCCAGGCAGAAGGGCAGGTGATTCCTACCAAATCGTACTCCCCGTTGTCGTGATTGCCGTCGCTCTAGTAACACATAAAAAATTGATTTTACTTGTTTATTGTTAAAAAAGAAAATGTTTGTTTTTATTTTTGCTGGCGTGTTCGTGTCCGTGTGCTCACCCTGACTCGACTTTGTAGTTCTTGTCTTGTGGCTGCCATCGATTTTATTTTCTTTCTTAAGACATTGCATAATACGTTGCATTATACACATGTGCCATTTAAGCTGAACTTATTACACAAGACTTAGCTATGCTGAAGAGTTTCCATTATGGCAAAAGAACATGTTTTGTTGCCAGTTGCGTAAGATGATTGTTAACGGGACAATGAAATTAAAGCTTTTGTGCAGCAGCCCAAACAACACTCAATAAATGTTGTATATTTCACTCGCATTCCTCTTGCCTGCTGCCATTTGTATTGCTTAGAAAATGTAGCCCACTTTAGAAAGACTGAAAAGGGTATA